CATTTTACTTGTTTGAATAAATACTGATATCACACGAATGGATTGGCCAGCTTACTCTCCAGATCTAAATCCCATAGAGCATGTGTGGGATGCATTAGGGAGACGTCTTACGACACGGCAGTATCCTCCTGCTAACACCCATCAGCTGAAAAATGCGTTAAAGGAGGAATGGAGACGTTTACCCCAATAACTCCTGAATAATCTGGTGCTTAGCATGGAGAGACGATGCCAGGGAACATCTGCCAGTTGTACTTACGCTTCTTCAGGCAATCATGTGTAACGCCACTATATGTCAAATAAAGCCCTTTTTTTGTTCCATACCGTACTTTGAGCTTTATATTCATTTCTGCGCCATTATTCTTTTACCATCGTTTAAGTACAAAATAATGTACATCATATTCAAATTTCAAACTCGAATCTGATAGGACTGACGAAAAGCTTCGACATATCGGAAGTTCGACTTACCGTTAGTTTCGGTTTTGGACTTTCGAAATATTGTCGGATTATTTAATTAATGCTTTTTAATTACAAATCTTCTTAAGACAATATTTCAGAAAAAACTACAAAGTATAATATAATAACTTACTTTATTATTTGTACTACATTTTACGTTTTTTTTTAAGTAATCCGTCACTTTACGTTGAAGTAATCTCTTTTGAGTCTCTAGAAACAGTAAATCTTCAATTTTCTGCAGAAACATAGAATTATCAATTCCTTTTCGACACTCTAGAAATTTTTGAAGAACTTCAAGAGATGCACGCGCTTCAAGTATGTTTGGGACTATTGTCTCTGAACCTTCTTCCTCAGCAGCACTTTCATCATTTTCTTCTGTGATCTGTATAAATTCTTCGCCGGAAATATCACCACAAACAGCAATGTTTTCATCGAAGTTTATGAAATCGGAGTTCTCAATTGCTTCCTCATCTTGAAGCTCTTCTATCACAGGTTCACTCTGTGTTTCTTTAAAAAACCCACACTTCCGGAAACAGTTTCTTATTGTCGCTTCGTTTACATCATTATTCCAAGCACTGGAAAGTAGCCTCATGGCTTCAAGTACATCAACTTTGAAAGAAATATTGTTTTCAATATCGTTTATCATTTTTCTAACAAGCCTTTTACGATAAGACTGTTTGAAGCATTTTATGATACCCTGGTCCATCGGCTGCAACTTTGCGGTTGTGTTTGGCGGGAGAAACTGCAAGTATACTGCATTCAAATTAGGAAGATCACTATGCGCTATACATTTACCCATAAAGAATATCACTTTTATTTTTTTAGCGAAGAATTTCCGATCCAATTTTCTTACCTAGTCTTCAAATAAAACTGATGTCATCCAAGACTTTTTGTTAGACTTGTAATCCAAAGGATACGTTTTTACATTCTTGAAACATCGGGGATTTTGGTATTTTCCGATAACAAGTAATGGCAATTTCTCTGTCCCAGACGTATTTCCTCCAACTAGGACAGTCAAGCGGACGCACGCACGCACGCACGCACGCACGCACGCACACACACACACACACACACACACATTTTCTGTTGACTTGACCCATAGTGAGTATTTATTTTCAGGTCTAATAAAAGGGTTTAAAGAGTTTTGCAGTCTGAATTTTTAATTTTTTTTTTTTAAACGTATGATAATTTGCGTGAGAGTGTTTATGAGCTAAGTCTCTTTTGTTAATGTCTTGCCCACTATGTTACTTTTTGCTTTTCGTGTGGCTCTACCAAGATTTTTTGATGCAAGTATCGATACCGCAATTTACTCATTGAATTTCATTGTAAAAGATGTTACAATTTTTTAAAAACATTTTCAAATTAAATAATTTAAGTTTCAAATAAATATTCATTGTTTAATAATTTTAAATTTGGTTTTTCCATTGTAAATTTAATTTTCTTTTACAATTTCAGATATAGCTCTTCATCTTCAAGAAAATCTACTATGAAGAAATTGATTTCAAAAGAAACTTCTTCTCTGAGTCAATTCCATATTTGAGAAGAACAGTTGGATACTGCAAACACTATGATGGACAGTTGGTAGTTCTAAGTTCTATCCTTACAGTGAATGTATACAGTGTGGATATTCAGCAAGGACCACTATAAATCTGCCACAGCGAAAAGTCCTCGTGTGACTTTTCGTACGCACATTATTATATTTATTTCGTATACACATGTTACTGAACATTTCATAAAAGCTTTTAATTACTGCTTGGAAATATAATTTCAAGTAAATAAAGACTTACAATTGGATGAATAATTTCAAACTGTATCAGATATTTCTAAAGTCATGAAAAAAAGTAATTTTATTTAATAACAATTATGTACTTTTAATTTGTGTTTTATCAATAGGTTATCGACGTTAATTTTAAACAATGAAGGTAATGTATTGCGTTTACAATTGGATGAAGCTTATTTTATAGTGTGTTTTGTTTTTCAATAAAATTATTATGCTGTGAAATAATTATGTTTATCTTAGATTTTTTTTCTTCATTACTGTAGTGTGTAATTTTTTCTATGACTTAGTAATAAATCTTGAACATTTTAAAATTTTGATTTGTCAGGTATGATATTTGTATTGATAAAATTACGAAGTACTGAAGTTACTTAAACAGTTGAATATATTTAAATTTTGGTTATTTTAATTCGACGGCATGATATCGGTAGTAATTTTCTTTCAACGCTGATTTTAAAGTTTATCTCAAAATTGTAAGTATTTTTATTATTTTAATTTCAGAAATTTTCTCATGATTATTAATTTGAAATGTTAGATAAAAAGTTTGCTTTTTTATTTTTATCATGTTTATAATAATATAATTGTCAAATAATTCTAATTGTAAACATTTCTTTGACTTTAAGCTGAATAACATTTAAATGTAGAAAATTTTCACATGATTATTCATTTGAGACAAAAAGTTTACTTTTTTATTTTTATCACTTTTAAAATAATATAATTGTAAAAAATTTCCTTGACTTTAAGCTGAATAACATTTGCATTTTAATGAAAATTCCCAATCAATGTAGAAAAGAATAATGCTTAAACTTTCATCTGAAAGATTTGTATATTCTTTGTGAAACGTTTGTATATTCTTTGTAAATATTAATATTTAAAATTTAGCTGAACATTTATTTACATTATTGTAAAAACAGAAAATTTAAATCAACGTAGAGAAGAATCTTGTTTAAATTTTTATATATAAGGTTCTTTGCGAAAGCAACTTTTTTAAACGCATAATATATGTTTTTTTTTTAAGGCTAATTCTTCTATACCAGGAACTTGGACTCCAGCATCTGCTTAATTTTTATAATTTTATTTTCTGAAAAGCTCTGTTTAAAATGTTTTCATGTTACACCTGCTTTTTTTTAAAACCTATTTATGTCATAACGCATACTATATAATCAGAGAAAAATGTGGAATGGAATTATCTTAATCAAAAATCTATTTTGTTATAGTAACTTTCTCAAAAGAGTAAATGATTGTAGTCAAATTTTAATCATTAATACTAAAGGCAACTTTTGAAAGATAATGTAAAAAAAACTATTATTTTTTCGTCTCATTCTTGTATGCAATTATATGTTTGTGCAAATTTAATTTAGATAAGACATAATATTTACTGACAGTTTTGAAATGTTATGTAAATATTTTGCAAAGATTGTTAGTTTAATAGAACATAACACCTTTAAATAATTATCAAATTAATGAATATTTCTGATGTGCCCATAAAAGTTATTTTAACATTATAAAAAAAATATTAGCAATTTTCATGATATTAGTTGCTTTCCTGGTTTCTTTCCCTGGAAAAATTTCTACCTTGCGTTTGAGTTTTGTTTTTAGGTGTTTTGCTAAATAAAATTTCAAATACTAAAAGAATAAAGTTACGTAAGTATTTCTCCGTTTAATTTCAGAGGAAGAAAAAATTTGAAAATCTATTGAAGTAAGCTATTTGAATATATTTAAATTAGGTTCTTTATTGTGTCAATTATTGCAAAAAATGACAACTTAAAAATTGAACAATTTTATTTTAGAATTATAAGGGGGCGGGGGAATGCTAAGTTAAAATTTCCGCTTAGTTCAAATGTAAATGTATAACTTTATATTTATATAGTGTGGTTTTTATTATATAATTTCGGAATATAAATAATGAATGATAATTGTGAAATTACAAATGGTTTAAGTTACACATTTAAAATATATATATATTACTAAGTAACAAATTAAATTGAGATTTTGATAAAATAAGCCCAGTTTTTTTAAAAAAAATTAAGAGTACATTTTAAAATTAAAGACTTGAAAATTATTAATGATATAAAATTTGTCAGAAAACCCATTATAATAAAACCCATTATGAATAAAAGAAAAAAATATCAATAAAAGTTCCAATAAAATATTATTTCCTAATTAAGTTTGAAATATTCAAAAAAATCAGCTGAACATACTTTAGAGTAAGGAGGAGAAAAATGGAAGGTAGCAGAATTCACTAATATAATTTTATTTAGTATTTCTGTATTGCTAAGTAAATAATGCATGGAATGACTTAAAACTATTGTTCTATGTTTTATTGCTTCACAACAATACAGAAAATTAAGTAAAATTATATCGCCGAATCATTCTATTACTATCCATATCTTCCTCTTGCTTACTCCAAAAAAATAAAAAGCAAAGCAAAATAATATCAGAAAATACAAAATCTAATATTATATAGCATCAAAACTAATGCAAAATAATATTATGGCGAACGCTAGATAATATTAGTTTGCATAGAATCTGAGCAAACAGCGACTTCTTGTATCTTTCTAATATTAGAAGTAGTGCAAGATAACATTAGATTTTGCCGATTTTCTGATGTTATCTAATATTAAGTGCTACTTGAGATTAAAAGAAAATATCCTTAAACGATATGAATCTACGTACCCGCTGTCTAAAAGAATGAAGATGCGTGCCTTTCCCCAGGTGGAATCAGCTCTTCTGAAATGGTTTCAACAGTACAGAAATCGAGAAAATGCTATTACCATAAGTGGTGTTCTGCTACGTGAGAAAGTGATAGATTTTGATAAACTGTAAAAAATAGACAATTTTCACGCTAGTGCTGGGTGGCTAGAAAAATTCAAGAGCAGACACAATATTGTCTTTCGCACTCTTCATGGAGAAGCTAAAGCTGTCCCTCTTGAAGTGTGTGAACAGTGGTTAAATGAAATGTTACCAAATTTATTTCAAGGATACAGTGAAAATGATGTTTTCAGTGTTGATGAAATGGGTTTATTTTTTAAATGTCTTCCAAATAAGACTACGATGTTTAAGGATGAAAACTGCTCAGGGGGTAAAATGAGCAAGGAACACTTGACTGTCCTAGTTGGAGGAAATGCGTCTGGGACAGAGAAATTGCCCTTACTTGTTATCAGAAAAAACCGAAATCCCCGATGTTTCAAGAATGTAAAAACGTATCTTTTGGATTACAAGTCTAACAAAAAGTCTTGGATGACATCAGTTTTATTTGAAGACTAGGTAAGAAAATTGGATCGGAAATTCTCCCCACAGGTGTTAACCCTTTGTTAAAATATTTGTGCAGATGATATTTTTAGGCAATGGAATCAGACTCAAAACGACTTCCTCAAAATATGTGGGCGGTGTGGAATTATATATATATTTTCAAAGTGCAGCCCCTTATCTTAAGGCCTGTTTAGATTGATTGATATTGATGGAAACTTGTTTTGATTTGAGCTTGGATCGTTTGAACGATCATCCAAGTACTTGGTCCAAGTCTTTGGACGACTGTTCTACTTTCCATCCAAGTTTTTTCTCCCTTAACCATTCAGCGTCTTCGGTTTGGTGACGTCAACAAGCAGGTATACGATTATGTCATATTGTTGTCTGCTTTCATACATTTTAGTCCAAATAAATTGATCTGTTACGGTTTATTTGTGTTATTATGATTTTATTTTAATTTATTTAGTGATTTTAAACTTATGTAAGCATTATTTTACAATTTTGAATGGAAAAGGTTTTCAATATAAATGTAAACAATAACAATCTCGAGCTCCATATCTGCTCTAGTTTCGGTTAGAAAGTTTGCAAATGCTCACTACAGCTTCTTCTGCGGGGCAATTTTTTCAAACGGATAATTTTTTTTTCAGTAAAAGAATTAAATTAGATGATTTCTGAACTCAAATCGGCCGTATTTCATAAGATATTAATGTTATTGAGCAATTCTGGTGAGTTTGAAGTGAAATTTTGTTTTAGTTATTCATAGATATATTGTTAAAAAAAAGTGACATGGTTGCTAGATTTTGAATAACTCGCTTTTTTGGCAGTCCTGATTTGGCATCTTTCCATTTGCGTGTTAGTTTGCTTTTGTTACAAGCTGTCAACCATCTTACGTTAGTGTTAGCATGTTGTTCGAGGAGCAGGATTAAGTTTAAACATAAAAATTCAGGTTTAAATTTGAAAGTTGGCATATATTATTGACAAGGTAAAAAGTGCTTCAGAGCGATTCTTTTTTCAAATGTTAGGTTTACATATTTATTATTGATCAAACCACATGTTACTACTACTTAGCATCACTATTTCACAATTAATGTTAAAATTATATTCCTTTTAAACCCTTGTAAACACAAGTAATAAGTTATCAAATACCACTTTGCAAGAATCTCAAAACACAATAATGACGTTGTGAACCAAATGACTTTGAAATACAACGGAAACAGTAACCCAGAAGCATACATGGCAACGTTACTTTTGAAAAGTAACGAGTAAAAGTACAAGTATTTTTATAAGAAGTAACGAGTAAAAAGTAAAAAGTTCTTATTTTAAAAAGTAACGAGTAAAAAGTACAAGTAAAAGTACAAGTACTAAACAAAAAAAGTAACGTTTAAAAGTACATTTCTAGGTAATCGATTCAAAGTAACCTAAAATTTTATTGAATAATATTCTTAAGTTCTTTAATGTTTTTGCAAAATTGTTGTTATTTATTTAATTATTTTTAATTTTGAAAGTTATGGATATTAATTTATTTTTAAATTCGGAAGAATATTATAATATAATTTTATAATATAATCGTATAATATAATTTTAAAATCAAATATAATTTTAATATCAAACTTTTTATGGATTTGCACGAAAAAGAAATTTTATCTATTGATTTTAATTTTTAGTTTATTATTTTTATTTATTTAAATTACCATTGATTTAAAATTGTTTTACTCTTTAGAAACGCGTTTTAAAAGCACAAACATAAACAAAGCAAACACGGGGTTTCAGATAGCTTTGTGATCTTTGAGCTAGTAAAAAATAATTGAATGTGCAGTATAAGTTGAAACAGAAGGTATTTAAACACGAAGTTAGCTGTGAATGCATATATATTGCACATTAATTTTATAAATTAAAAAAACATAAGCATTTCTTTTTAAATTTAATTTTTTTTTTTTTTAGAAAGCTTACCGAGTTTTAGAAAAAAGTAACGATTTCATTCGATATTTCCGTTACAAATACTTGTACTTTTTCCCTAAAAAAGTAACGAAAGTACAAGTAAAAGTACTAAATTTAAAAAGTAACGAAGTACAAGTAAAAGTACGTACTTTTTACTTGTACCGGCGGTACAAGTAACGAAAGTAAAAGTACTGCCATATATGCCCAGAAGCATAGGTGGTATAGAGAACTTGCAGCTCTCCCTAGTGTAGAAAACACCATCCATATGCACATGCGCAAGTTTTTTTGTCGACCCATCAGTGACATTCAAGAACTTGGATAGTGTCCACGAATCGTCCAATTTCTTGGACAGAGAAATTCCTCCAATTTCTCAGACTCAAGAACTTGGATTGCGCCTTTAGTACGTGAAAAACCTAATCATGAGATCAAAAGTTGCACTATGTAAATTGTTAAAAATGCCACTTACCGCAGTCTTCCTCATCGGAACCGTCAGGACAGTCACTACGTCCATCGCAGAGCCGGAATCTCTCAATGCATTCACTCCCACACCGGAAGTTATTTTTCTCAGTGCACCAGGGAGGGCAACCCTCTTCGTCAGTGCCATTAACGCAATCATCCTTGTGATCACATCTGTGAAAAGAACGTATGCATACTCCTTCTCCACAAAAAAAACCTGGGCAGTTTGAGGCAGCTAAATGTAATGAAACAAACAAATTATCACTTTCTTAAAAAATTTAGAGACATTAAGAAATATGGCTCGACACACTCTGTTTATAAAAAAATTTTGTTATTGTTGTGGCTTATCCTCCAATGCCTGACGAAGTCAGACAAGGTCCATCAGACCGTTGAACCTAAGGACATCACGGAGCTTAAACTACTGATAAAGTTATATTTACTGCAATTTGATTCGTCACTGCCATCTGCACAGTCTGATCTTCCATCACATACATCTGATTTCAGGACGCATTGCCCGCTTCTACATCGAGAGTAGGATTCTGGGTCACAAAATCTGGCATGGCAATCTCGTTCGTCACTGTTATCTTCGCAATCTTGGTATCCATCGCAAGCTTCTAACTCGTCATAACAATCATATCCGTCTTCGCATAGAAATTTAGATTGACAATCTGTAACAAAAAAAATAAATTCTTTAAAATAAATATTGATTTCAGCTACAAAAAGGTACGCTAATAATGGGTAAGAGAACCAAAACTTTTAATTTTTTTTAAATAAAGATCTATGATTTTTTTTATTCTTCGCTAGAAATAAAACAATTAGCTTGCTTCTCTTTCCTTTCAGTTCGCTTTCTTTTTTCCCTTCCCTCTCCCAGAAAACATGTAACCTTACGTCAACCTTGTGTCGGAATTTTCTTTTTATTGGCACGAAAATGTTTGTACTAAAAACCTTTTTTTTTTCTTCAATAAAGCAAATATATTGTAGTTTCAAACCTTTCATCCTAAAAGTATTAAAAAATTATTTTCTAAAGCTTTTGTAAAAAGTATTGTCACTTAAGGTCCCTCATGACGTTTTAGCTGACGTTACACTAGCAATAGGATCAAACTGCAGTGTCCATTGTAATGAGAGACTTCCGGCATAATTGTTTACTTGCTAAATAATATCAGTACACAGAAAACATGTAACCTTACGTCAACCTTGTGTCGGAATTTTTATCCTATTGTCTTGAAAATGCTTGTACTAAAAACTTTTTTTCAATAAAACAAAACTATTGCAGTTTCAAATTTTTCATCCTAAAAGGATTAAAAATTATTTTATTAAAGCATTCTTAAAAAGTATTGTCACGTAGTATAATAAAGTTTTATCTGACGTCACACTAGCGATCAAATTGCACTGTCCATTAAAGTTTCAAGACAAGGTGGATTTTAACTGAGCATACAAGACTTTGCGGGAAAAAAAACTTATAATTACCTAAATTTAATATTATTTACACCTTGAGACTAGCTTCTTTCAAGGATATTTTCACGTTTAAAAATCCTAAGTCAACCTCGATTTCAGGTTTTTATATAGAACGTTGTTTTCCAAGGTTTCGGATTAGGGTAATGTGCGTAAAATAGAGCAGATTGTCACAAATCTAGTTTTAAGGTTAAAAGGTTTACACGTAAACCACATAGAAACCTTTTTAGGTTTACATTAAAAGGGTTTTGGTGTGTTAAAAATAAACCTTATCTTGCTATCTGGGTCTGGGATGTTTGCGAACAGATTCTTAGCTGCCAAATATTTTAAACTATAGATAAAGTTTTATTTACTGCAATTTAATTCATCAGTGCCATCATAACAGTCCCATCTTCCATCACATTCTTCTGATTTCAGGACGCATTGCCCACTTCCACATCGAAAGTCGGATTCTAAGTCACAAACTCTGGAATAGCAATCTCTCTCGTCACTGTTATCTTCGCAATCTTTGTCTCCGTCGCAAACATACGATTTAAGAATACAATTACCACCTTCGCATCGAAATTTGGATAGGCAATCTGTAACAAAAAATAAATTCTTTAAAATAAATATCGATTTCAGTTACAGAAAGGTAGGCTAATATTAGATAAAAGGACCAAAACTTTTGATCTTTTTTAATAAAATTCCATGTTTTTTTATTTATTTTCGAGGGAAGTAAATCAGTTAGCTTGTTTCTCTTTCCTTATAGTTCGTTTTCGTTTTTTCCTTCCCATTTATCCCCTAAGAAAATTTGCCATAGGTTTTCCATGAAAAAAAAATGCCATAGGATATTCCTATGGAGTTTTGCTTATGGTAAAATTTTGCCAGACACTTTTTTCCATATACGTATGGCAAAAACTTACATGACATACATGTATAGAAAAATGTTGCCACATGCATATGGAAAAATTGTACCTTAAGCAAAACCCCATAGGAATATCCTATGGCATTTTTTTATGGAAAACTTATGGCAAATTTTCCTAAAACTCGTGACATTTGCCATATGTGTATGGTACATTTCTGTAAGGGATTGTCTTGCCATATAAATACCATACAGATATATATGATTGTGTCTTGCCATACAAATGCCACACAAATCTTTATGGTTACCATAGGTCTATGGCATTATCGGCCATACAAATTTCTGTTGTTGATATAAGTCCATAATGTTATGCCATATAAATTATTTGCAGATCTCCATTGTTAACATAGACCTTTGGTATAGTGCAGTGAGTATAAAAAAAAGTTTTCATATCATTTTTGCATGAAATTGTACTAAGTTCATTTTGTGCAAGAAGCATTTCTTATAAATATCTAGTTATTTTACATGTAAAAAAATATATTACTTTAAAAAATGTCATTTTGACGTTATTTTACCCGTTTTACAACTCATCCTTAATTATTGATCAATTTTTCCGTTTATATTATTTATATAGGAAATTTCATGTAGCATATTTTGTATAAACTTTCTCTTTTGTATCCAATGATTTCTGAAGTATTTTTATGTATTAAAAAAAGAAGAGAACTGAACTCACATCAGTTAGGATTTTTAATGTTTCTCAGATTCCCTTCCGTAACCCTTTGAGACAGAATTTTTATTAAAAAAATATTTTTTTCTCTATTTCGTATTAATTTAGGTCAAAACAATTGAAAAATATTATATTTAGCATATTGATAATATATAGTTATGAAATACAGAATGAAACACCGGTGTATTTTTCTGAGAATCTTCCAAACACAGCTCACTTCCAAATAATTTTTCAAATTTGTACTTATTTGCTATTACTTGACTCTGAAAGAAATAGTTATTCAACATAGAAATTTCTTTAGCTTTAAAAAATCACTTATTGATAAATGTTTGAATATGAATGGAAAAATTTTATACTACTTTTTTTTTCTTTTTTAATATTTTAGGACAAATATAATTCCGAAAATTTAATGGATTTTTTTACTAATGGATTGACTGTTTTTTTTTTAAGCAAAAAAATATCAAAATATATTTTTGCTTGTCATATGAGCGTCTGACAAAAAAAAAAACATATATAAAGGAGGGTCACCGGTATTCGATCTGCGTCAAGGGTCTGCTCAACCAAATCTAAAACTATTTGATTTTCATTTCCATTTTTTATCCATCGTCCAAACTGACATATGAATGTGACTGGAGAAGCATTAAGAGCAGCACTCTAGTTCATTTGCAGAAACTTTAGTGAGAGCCTGTCGGCATAATCGTTTATTAGATAAGTAATGTCAGTACCCAGAAAGCATGTAACCTCATGGCAACTTTGTGTCGGAATTTTCATCTTATTGCCAAGAAAATGCTTGTACTAAAATCTTTTTTTCAATAAAGCAAAAATACTGCAGTTTCAAACCTTTCATCCTAAAAGGGTTAAAAATTATTTTTTAAAGCTTTCTTAAAAAGGATTGTCACTTAGATAAAATGGTTGCCGGACGTCACACTAGCAATAGGATCAAATGGCATTGTCCATTAAAATTTCATGACAAGGTGGATTTTAGCTGAGTATACAAGACTTTGCGAAAAGAAACNCAAAATATATTTTTGATTGTCATATGAGCGTCTGACAAAAAAAAAAACATATATAAAGGAGGGTCACCGGTATTCGATCTGCGTCAAGGGTCTGCTCAACCAAATCTAAAACTATTTGATTTTCATTTCCATTTTTTATCCATCGTCCAAACTGACATATGAATGTGACTGGAGAAGCATTAAGAGCAGCACTCTAGCTCATTTGCAGAAACTTTAGTGAGAGCCTGTCGGCATAATCGTTTACTAGATAAGTAGTGTCAGTACCCAGAAATCATGTAACCTTAAGGCAACCTTGTGTCCGAATTTTCATCCCATTGCCACGAAAATGTTTGTACTAAAAACCTTTTTTCAATAAAACAAAAATACTGCAGTTTCAAACCTTTCAGCCTAAAAGGATTAAAAATTATTTTTTAAAGCTTTTTTGAAAAGTATTGTCACTTAGGTCCATGATGACGTTTTAGCTGACGTCACACTAGAGATAGGATCAAATTGCATTGTCCATTAAAAATTCGTGACAAGGGGGATTTTTAGCTGAGCATACAAGATTTCGCAAAAAGAAACCTTATTATAACCTAAATTTAAGGTTATTTTTACCTTGAGACTAGCTTTATGAAAGGAATTTTTTTCACGTTGGAAAATCCTTAGTCAACCTCGATTTAAGGTTTTTATATAGAAGGTTGTTTTCCAAGGTTTTGGATCAGGGTAATGTGCGTAGAATAGAGCAGGTTGCCACAGATTTCGTTTTAAGGTTAGAGGGTTTGCACGTTAACCGCATTACAAACCTTATGAGGTTTACATTAAAAGGTTTTTGCTTAGTGGAAATAAACCTTATTTTGCTAACTGGGTATCCGACTTGCTAAAGCATCTATTGGAGGTGCGTTCTCGATGAATTTCAACATTTTCTGACCGCTACAAAAAGAATTTATCATGAAATTATCACCACTACCAATTTTGACCACACTGCAAAAATAAGGCAAATTTGAACTGGTTTTCTGTGCTAGATGAATAGGCTTGCTTCATTCTTTCTTTACTTACAGGCGGAATTGAGATCGCCCTTTTTGTCGCCAAATAGAATTTATCGTCACTCATAATTTCGACAAAATTTTCTAGCGAGAGTACTTAAATTTCGAACTGATCATGAAGGCAATGCTAGTTGCATTTGTCTCCTAAGTCATACAAGCGAACTTTATAGCCCTTTTTATTGGCAATCAGAACTTTGACAGTTTTTGCGCTTTGTCGGCAATCGATTTCTTAAACAGACACTAAACTAAAGAGAAAGAAAAGAAGAAAAAAAAGAAAAGAAAAGGAAGAAGAAAAGAAAGTAAAAATTTAAAACACATTATTCTAAAAAGACTAAAAATAAAGAAAAGAAAGGAAAAATAGAAGAAAAAAAAGTTAAATTTCTAAAACACATTATTCTAAGAGACTGAAGAGAAAGAACAGAGGGAAAAAAAGAAAGAATAGAAAAGAACGTAATAAATTGAAACACATTTTTCTAAAAGTCTAAAAAGGGAAAATAAATCTATTTTTAACAGACAAAAAAAATGGAAAAAAGTTGGGTGCACTTTCATAATAGCTGCGTGAGACAACGCTTATATTGTAACTTGAACAATTTGGTTAATTTTATTTACGTACAAGACAAGGAAAAAAAGAGAAAACATATTTTAAGACATTTGTTATCTTTGTATGCCTTTACACTATATAAAAATTTAATTCAATTTACTGTCGTCGGTTAGAATTTTTTAATGACAAAGAAAAATTATACGAAAAATAAAAAGATACTATTCAAGCAATCTTTCGGGCAGTTTAATGGCATGCAAGCACCTTAGTATTGAGTTGAGCTTCACGATCAAAATGTGAAGAAAAATATCCGATATTGGGTTAAAAAATTTTAAAAACTAAAATGAATCATTTTTATGTAATAATTAAACATGACTAAAAAATAAGAAAGTTAATTTTTTGAATTAAAAAAAAAACTTTTATCGCATTTATGAGTTCACATGCCTGAGGTACAGTATTTAAATAAAAAATGCTTTCGCCTATTATTCAACCCTTTATAAAGCTTTGGTAAGTAAACTTACCACGTTACCTTTTGGTAGGTATACTAACTTCAAATTTCAAATAAAGATGGTAAACCAAGATTTGTTCAACAATCTACAGATAAATTCAGGGAATACAAAGAAGGAAAAAAACAATGAAGGGTTTTCTTCGACATAAATGCAGGTTACAATAAAGGTTAGAGTGAGATCAAGAGATCAACATTAGAGAGCTACTTTCTCTCGTACGTCATGCGCTGTTATTTCAACGTCCAAATTTACAGCCAACTCTTTTTAGTAGGAATAGTTTCAAATACCAACCTCTCCCCAAAAGTAGTTTTAAAAATCAAATTAGTTTTTGAGTTATAAACTAAATGACATTTATTTAATAAATCAATCACAATCCCAAAAATATTTAACCATTACATAAACTCGAAAAAAAAATGGCAGTATAAAGGTTTATTGGATCTCAGGTCTATCACTACCGAAAACTAATCCATGTCTTTCAAAAGTGATGGGACCAGGGTCTGAGTATCGCCTAGGCGAATTAGGCCCAGACAAAGAACCACGCTTTCTGGATGGCCTCAAAAATTAGTAAAAAGTCCACAATATTACTATTTTCTTAAAAACTTAAAGAAACAGCTATATTTAAATAAATTATTATTTGAATGTGTTTTTAATTTTCTACGATTAGCTATAATTTTGGCTCTTTTGGATATTTTTTGTGTGTATTTTTTAATAAGACTTATAATTAATAACCTTAATACCTTAGCATACATGCTGAACTTTCCGTTAAATCTAATGAAAAGTCGGCTAGCTTTGTGTTGGTTCAAGTACTAAATAAAAAAAAGAATTACAGCTTACAATAAAAAATAATTCTACTTTTAGAAAAAAATCGTGGATTTTCAATTGTTTGTGGTCACCAAACTATTTTTATTTTGACATAACATTATTTCGTTGTTTTATATTTTGCTTTAATATATAGAACTTTATCCGAGAAAAATTATCTTCAATTGTCTGCTTTCAAAATTTTTTAGAATGTTTCTCTTGAATCATGCAGTTCAATAGATTCTTTTTCATTGTTAGGACTACTCTTCAGAAACTTTATTTCAAAATATTTCGTCAGGGGCCCGGAAAATTTGTTGGGCATTGGACCTGAATTTGTCTTGATCGATCCCTGGATGGGATCTACGGTATTCATTTTTAATCTAGCAAAAAAATTATATTTTATTTTCACCCAAGTCTACTTCAAGTTGTTGTTCATTTACGTCGCGCTGGAGCTGCACAATGGGCTATTGGCGATGGTCTGGGATACATCCCTGAGGATGATCCGAAGACATGCCATCACAATTTTGATCCTCTGCAGAGGGGATGGCACCCCCTCTTCGAAGTCTACTTCAAAAACATTTTTATAAAACTTATATTTTAATATAAATCTAACTTGAAAGTAGCTTACCTTGCGTTGAAGATACAACAACGATGATTAGCAAAGCAATTATTATGCGTGGAATCATTGTATGCAGTTGATTAGTCAACTTACAATTGAGTTAATATTTCAAAAATAGCAAATAATGATTTGCATTAAATGAGGAAGTTCACAAAGGGTTATATCAGGAACAGGAAATCAATTAAAATGTCTTGATAAAAAGACTTGTAATAAATAAAGAAAAGTTTAACTACTTATACGTTTAATATCACCAAAATGTTTTTTTTTTTCTACAGCAAGTCGAGTCAGTGGGAGTTTTTAACACTAGATTGCCCAAGTCATTTTGACTGCTTTTTCATTTGCAAAATAAATGTACAAATAATAATGCATAAATTATTTAAGTACTTTTTAAGCATTCAAAAAAAAATCTTTTACCATTTGCCCAAAAGAAAAAAAAAAAACGATTACTTTTTTTCTAAAGTTTAATGCTCTTAATTTATAAACATAATAAAATTTAAAATTATCTAAATTAATTAAAAAAATTTGAAATTATCATAATAAAATTCAAAAACTTAACATAATCATGATAAAAAAAAAAAACTAGCTTCTGATAAATATTGCAGAGAAAATTGTGATGATCATGAATTTTTTTGTAATTTAAAACAATCGACACGGCAAAGAAAAGAAAAATCTCTTTTTAAAAGACAGAAAATTAAGCACTTTTTGCATACCCCGAATATAAAAAATGCACTTTTAGAGCTTTTAAAAATATTTAATTCGAAAATAAGCACCTTTTAAAAACACTTCGCACCCTGAATCATGTGTTCTCGGAACGATATTAATACGCATTGTAATTTCTTTATACGGGTACAGTTCGACCTCTATTTAACGAAGTCACTAAACCCCGATAAAAAGTTCGTTATATGGAAAATTCGTTAAATAGAAAATCACTATTCTAAATATACTTAAACAACACAAAACAGGTTTTAAATTCCTAAACACTAGACATAATTAAAATAGCAATTGATACACCTTTATCTTGTAAATTATTATTTCTTATCGAATTGTGATTTTAACATTTCATCATATGAAAGTTTAGCGATTTCGTCATCATTTTTGTCTTCATCTTCCTCACAATTTATTGCCGTACTATTTTTATTTTCCACACTGTCCATAAAATATCCGTATTCAGTTAATGTTTCTGCGATTGCAGCTTCAGAATCAATAAAAAGAAAATCATTAATCAGTAATCATCACCGTTAATTTCGTAGTTGGTCTCTAAGCTGTACCAATGTTTTTTTTTTTTTAAGTTCTTCTGAAGGAATATCATCCTCGTCTACCACACTTTCCAAAACCCAGCTTTATCAAAACTGTTACGAATAGTACGATCTGTAACATAATAGTTCCATGCTTTAGAAATTTCTTTTATGCTTTCTCGTCAATTTATATTGGGAATAAGTAGCTGAGAAAATTAATTCAAGATCATTTCCTCCTATAAAATGCGCTAACAAGTTTAAAATATTTTGGGAAATAGGGAAAATAGGATTTCAAAGAAAAGTTCGTTAAATAGCAAATTCACTTCGCTATTTGGAAGTAATTTTACGAAGAAATTTCTAAAATGTTCTTCGTTCTAGAAAAAAATCACAAAATACAGAAATTCGCGAAATGGAAGTTCGTTAAAAAGAAATCTGATTACATATAAATACAAAATAAATTTTATTCTAAGCTTGCATTCTGGAAAGAACAATAAAAAATTTAAAAACTCATTTGAAACCAATTACATACCAAGTATTTTTATTACATTTTTTATAACCTAAAAGAAACGGCTTGATTCTCAAAAAACAGGTTTTGTTTGATATGCATATTTGACTTTAGCAAATGGACAACATCAAGAAGTTACTTCCAAAGAAAGGATTTAAAATTATACATATCTGTTCAATTCCGTAGCTTTGTAATTTTGAACCCCATCCAGAAGACAAGGGAATTCCTGGATCAAGGTTTTTGAGAAATTTGCTTCGTGGATGACTTTTTTATGGAACTGATCTATTTATGGAACAAATCTAACATTTGAGTTATTTGGAGAGGAAAACCTCCCACTGTTAGCCTGCCGATAAGGGGACTCTAACCCAAGATCCGTCTACTAACTGAGGATATTATACGCCAGCAGTGATCGGTGCAAGCTGGATGCGGAATTCGTATCGACTAATCATCGCTGCGATTCGAACCTGGACTTCACCTCATTGGAAGGCGAACGCTCTATCCCCTGAGTCATCACGGCTCGACTCAAACTATTAAAATTCAACATACTGCAGTACTTGCAATAGCACCATCTGTTAAGGAATAAGAGAATCAGTGGATATTTTATCACCAAAAATTTCTTTAACAAATACGGAGAAATTTGAGAATATACCTACAGGTAAGCCGGAGATGATAATTGTAAAATACAGGAGTCTTCGTTAAAAAGAAACAATAGACTTAGCAGTTATGTTAAGTAAATAAGCAGCGAAATTTTAAACTGGAACAGAAAAATGAATACTTTATTTTACAGCAATTGATTCCTGTAGCACAAATACATGTCTGGTGGGTTTTTACACATACAGTCTTTAAGCATATAAATTAAAAACTCATTAATATTCAACATCCATGCAACAAATACATACTTTATAACAATATTCCCAACAATCTAATAAAATGAAAAACATTACGAAATAAAAATTTGCAACACATTTTCCAATGTAAACAACCGGAGAGTGCAGAACACTTCTGCCTGATTAACTTTAAATATAATACTGTGCAGAATAAATATTCACACAAAAAGAAAAAGTTTAAAATTTGGCATGCAAACAGTGGCGTAGTTTTTGGGAGGGTATAGGGGGAAAAAAACCTCCGAAATTATACATTACTGGATTAATGACATAAAAAATTTTAATAAAACATTTTTTCGTCATTTAAACATTTAGAATATATAATTNTGTATGTATTATATACACACACATCTGGTTAAACTATTAAACACACTCTAAGATTCTTTGTAAAATCTTAAGTATCAGGTGATTCTATACAGCTTTATTATTTTTACGCAATTGAAACCAATTTGCACTTGTTTACGTTAGTGTATCAATTGGTTAAATTAGACTATATATTATATAAGCATAGAATACTTATTATATTAAGTACTATATTAGTATATTATAATAATTAGATCAAATGATTAGACGCACTGTAGTTCCTTAATAATCACATGTTTTGCAAGAGTTTATAGGCAATACTTTTATACTTAAACATACATGTAATGGGTTTTTATTTAGGAGATTTTATATGCTTCCTATTTGTGTTTATTTTTAACGTATTGCATCACAATGTTAACCCATGGATACACGAACGTAAGCAAGTGCAAACCGGTTTCAGTCGAGTAAAAACAATAAAGCTGTGTAGTATCACCTGATAATTAAGATTATACATAGAATCTCAGAGTGAGTCTAATGTCTAATAATTTGACCAGGGACATATATATATATGCAGTTCCTGGTCAAATTATCAGACTAGGGTCTAATTATTTGAGCAGGTGTAACCCCCAAGGGGGCGTAATCCCCTCCAAACATACCATAAAACTATGACACTGCATGCAAATATCTAATCATTTATTTTTTTAAAAAACAATTAAATTTTCTGAAATATACAAAACAGTGTAAGATAGAATTATGATAGGAGTTCTCGCGGCAGAGTTCACAAAGTGCAACATATTAACAATATGTAGGTAATTCCATTAATTTCGAACAATTCATTAAAATTTTAAAAAGCAACACCATTTAGGTATAAAATTCGTTTTTCACCATAGGCAGTGGCATAGCTATGGGAACAACATAGCTCATTCATTTATTAAAAGGGCATAATAAAACAGAAAAAATTCTTTTTTTGATAAATAATGATTTTTGTCTTTAAAAGAATTTGAAACAACTCTGATACCCTTCATTTCATGCAGTTCAGCATCAATATTTACTCTCTTAATGATAGATATATTTTTGTAATTTGGATTAACTGGAAGCAGCCTTCTTAGCTTGATTGTTATATTAGCTGCTCTACTCAATTACTAACTTATAGGATATCACAAGTCATCCCATCAAATGAAAGATTAGAAATTAATAATAAAAGTAAATTAATAAAAACTTAGAATTAATTTTAAAAAAAAATTTTTTTTTTTTTTTTGCTCAATTAAGCAAAATTCCTTCCCACACCCTAATTTAATCTCTTGCATAGCGAATTTCCCACATTATTCCAAGAGGAAGTGTTGAGAAAACTTTATAAAAACTTTTATAACACAGTAGAGTTCAGAAATAATAAATTTTATGATCATAGTCGAACCTCTATTTAAAGAAGTCTCTAAATTTCGATAATAAGTTCGTTATATGGAAAATTCATTAAATAGAAAACCACCTTTTGAAATTCTTAAACCCAAAACAGGTTCTAAATTCATTAGCACTAGAAATAATTAAAATAGCAATTGAAACACCTTTAACTTGTAAACTAGCATCTACTATTTATCATATAAATCTTAACCACCATGAAAGAAATCTGCTTGGAAAGCAAGAACAGAGCAAAACATTATACTCTGCTACACTATCATGCTACATACATTTTGAACTAAAAAAAAAGAAGCTAAATTTATGCATAAAATTATAGCTGCACTTATTATAAAAGTAATTTTAAGCATATGCATTCTTAAATCTTTTAATTACTTCTGATAAAATCCGTTTTGTCAGAGTTTTTCGCTTAAAATGCAAACAAAAAGGGATTTTACAACTTTCTCTAAAAGTTAAGTGGTTGTGAAAATTAATATAAGGTCATTTCCCTCATAAAATGAGTTAACAAATTTGAAATGTTCTGAAATATTTTGGGAAATAGAGGGAAAGTGGCATTCAAAAAATAAATTCGTTAAATAGAAAATTCACTTCGCAATTTGGAAGTTATTTGAAGAAATTTCAAAAATGTTCTTGGTTCCTCGAAAAAAATTGCACAATATAGAAATTTGCAAAATTGAATTGTTTTGCTTTTAGTTTCTTTCTTTTATTTATTTACAATTAGGGTTTACTTTTATGCTAATAAAAATATAGATTTCGTTTTAAAAATAACATTAAGACTATTTGCTGTCAAATAAAATATTTTAAATGGCATTTGGACTGTAAG